GCAAAGAGTGCATATTTTATAAAAATTTTCTAAGTCTTTATATATATAATATAATATTATATATATAAAGACTTAGAAAATTTTTATAAAATATGCACTCCTTGCATATCCCTGCATGCATATGCACCCCTTGCATAACTTTTCCACTAATATGCACCCCTTGTATACCCTGCATACATATGCACCCCTTGTATAACTTCTTTACTAATATGCACCCTTACATACCTCTGCATCCATATGCACTCCTTGCATAACTTCTTCACTAATATGCACCCCTTGCATACCCCTGCATCCATATGCACCCCTTGCATATCTTCTCCACTAATATGCACCCCTTGCATACCTTCTCCACTAATATGCACCCCTTGCTTACCTTCTCTATTAATATGCACCCTTACATACCCTGCATGCATATGCACCACTTGCATACCCTGCATGCATATGCACCACTTGCATACTCCTGCATGCATATGCACCCTTGCATACCCTGCATACATATGCACACTTGCATACCTCTGCATAAATATGTACCCCTTGCATACCTCTGCATAAATATGCACTTCTTGCATACCTTCTACATAAATATGCACTCCTTGCATACCTTCTGCATAAATATGCACTCTTTGTATAATTATGTATGTATATGCACTCTTGTATAATTTATGCATGCATATACACCCTTGCATACCCTTGCATATTTTAGGTTATACGGCTTATAAGCCCGTTTAAGCCAGATTTTTTTGAACACTAACCTTAGCTTAAAAAAAAAAAAAAAAAATTACAAGGTTCTTCGAAGCATTCCGATATTAAAATAAATCTTGTTTATCAATTACTATAAATATATTATACTATTTTTAGATTTTATCGATAATATTCTAAAAGTTTCTATCAACTAATCTTGTTAAAGTTTAGCTTTTTAAATTTTATCAACAAATCATCAAGGCAGATTTCCAATTTTGATTTGTAACTTGTGACAATCAACAATTATAGCAATTCATCACTATTATAATCAACTTTAATTTGTTTAAATCTTTTCAGTTTGTTAAAAAAAAAAAGATTTTTAAGCTATATTTAGAATCGTATGACTCATTATATTGTTGTAGCTTTGCTTTGTAATAACTGACTATCAATTGTTCTAAAATTTTTTTATTATCTAAAAATTTTCTCATTATTATCTATTATCATTATAAAACTGATAAATTTATCGTCTAGTTTTTAACAATTTTTTCAAAACTTTCTCTACAATTCCAAGGTTATAATTATACATCTTTTTACTTTTTCCAACTTCTATTATTTATGATTATTATACTAGTTTATAGAGAAACTTTGCTTTTTCACTGGATCGCTTGGAGCTTTTCATTTCGATAAATTGACTCCTTGAGTGCCTAGGTTAAAGCGAGAAAGGATCGTAGCTTAATACTTAGTATTGTACAGCTAGCCCTTTCTACTTTTATATATGCTTCTCCCCTTTTGTTTTCTCTATTATGAAATAAACATATATTTTTTTTTGTTGCTATTTTGTATTTAAAACAAAATATTAACAAACTTTTTATATATACATATATTTTAGCTTAACAAAATATTTCTTGAAAATATGGCTTCAATGTTATCCAAACCTCTGACTTTTCTTCCTCAGCTTTTACCAACACTTCAGTTACTTGTCAAGACTTGCTTACCTATATTGGCTCCCTTCAGGACATTGTAGCAGTGGTTTAAATCAATTAGAAAAAAAAACCAAAAAATATTTAAGTGGTTAAGTTGCTCAGGATATACACTTTTGTGTATGAAATTAAACGATACATATACTGAGCTTAAGAAGAGAAAATCACAAAAAGAGATGCTACAAAAAATTAAAAACCTCGAAAAACGTGTGATGAATTTAGAGAAGAAAAATCTCTGGCTTAAATTTTTAAATACAACTAATCAAGCTAAAGAGAAGGGCAAAGAAAAAGAAAAAGATAATAATAATAATAATAATAATAATAATAATAATAATATATATAAATATATATATATATATATTATATATATTTTTTTTGTTTTATAAAATTTTTGTTAAAAAAAATAGAAATAAAGTATATATAAAATGAAATAAAAGCTATATAAAACAAAAGCTATTTTGCTAAAATAAAATAAAAAAGTGAAACAAAATATTATATTAACTAATAATTATAATAGGTTCCTATAAAGGTCGATCAAAGTATAATTTTAAATGATTAGCATTAATTATTCCTTTTAAAATTTTATCATCCATAAAACTAAGTTTGTAAGCTTCTGGTGCAATGATATTATGAATATAATAAGGTCCTTTCCATTTTTTCCTGAATTTGTCACCATATACTTTGGCTTGTACTGATCGATACAATAAAACCTTATCCCCAATATGGAATGGAACTTCCTTAACATGTTCATCATATTTTTCCTTTTGTTTTTGTTGAGCAGATTTAATATTTTGCTAGGCTTTTAACCGAACTTGATGTAATCTATTTGTAACAAGATCAATATAACTTTGAAGCTATTGTTTATAAGGAGGTTCCTCAGCATTATTAATAGAATTTAATGCTAAGTCCAAAGATGTTACAGCTTTTTGATCATAAAGTAATTTAAATGGCTTATATTTGGTAGTAGATTGAGGGATAGTTCAGTAGGCAAATAGAGTAGCAGATATAAAAGTATCTCAAGAATCCTCATAGTCATTAATATACTTTGCTAAGATTGTATACAAAGTTTTGTTAAATCGTTTAGTTAATCCATTAGCTTGAGGATGGTAAGCAGAAACAAGACGATGCTTAGTATTCATTAGTTGACAAAGTGAATCAACTAAAGTGTTACAGAAAGATTTTCTTTGATCAGACAACAGTTCTTGTGGACATCCATGATGAATAATAATTTTATCATAAATAAACTTGGCAATGGTAGTAACCTTCATATCAGATATGGCTTTAGCTTCAGGCCATTTGGTTAAATATTTGGTAGCTACTATAATATATTGATTTCTACTAGAAGTAATTTTTAAAGGTCTAATAATATCAATTCCAACCCAATGAAATGGAACTGAGACAGGTAATGGATGTAAAAATTTATTTTGTTTTATTTCTCCTTGCCATTAACAAGTATCACAAGTTTGAATATAGTTTGCAATACTTTTAATGCTTTTATATATTTTAGGCCAATAGTATTTGTTTTTAGCATAATTATAGATTCTATCAATACCAAAATATCTAGCAAAAATATTAGAATATAGACTATGTAAGACAGTAAGTAGTTCAGATTTCTGAACTATACGTAATAATTTTTGTGATGACCCTTTTGGTTTTCTATATAATTGATTATTTTTAATAATATAGTGTGTTGCTTGTTTTTTAAATTGTTGTTGTTCCATTAGATTTAAGTTTGGGGGTAATACCGAAGTTGTTAAATAGTTAATAAAGTTGTGATAAAGTGTGGGTTCCATTTTGGTAAAAGTTTTTAAGTATTTTCCCTAAGGTGGATTCTTAGAGAAACAAAAAAGTGCATCCATATTAGAATAGACTCGACCTTTTCGATATATAACTGTATAAGAATAGTCAGCAATTCATTGTATCTATCGAGTTACTCATTTGTTAGAATTAGGTTGGTTTAATAACCAACGTAAAGCAGAATAATCTGTGATAAATTCAAAAGATCTAAAATAAATATAAGGTCAAAAATATTCCATTCCCCATACTGCAGCAAGACATTCAATTTCAGTTAGAGAGTAATTGATTTTAGCAGAATTTAGAGACCTGCTCGCATAAGCAATTATATGCTCATGATTATCATCATCTTTTTGAGCAAGAATAGTATCTAAACTCTGATAAGAAGCATCAATATATAAAATAAAAGGTTTGATAAAGTTAGAGTATTGAAGAATAGGTGCAGTTGTTAATTTTTCTTTAAGAATATCCATTGCTTGTTGACAGGTTTCAGTCTAAACAAAAGGAGTATCCTTTTTTAACAACTTATTTAGAGGTTCAACAATTCATGAAAAGTTTAGAATAGACTTTCGATAATATGAAACAAGGCCAATAAATCCATGAAGTTCAGTAAGATTACGAAGTGCAGAATAGTTTTGAACTTTATCAATTCTTGATAGATTTGGGAAACTCCATTTCCACTAATAATATGTTCTAAAAAGGCTAATTGCTGTTTTTCAAAACAACACTTATCCCATCCTAATTTTAGTCCAGCATTTTGGAGATGTTTAAAAACCTCTTTTAAGTGTTCCAAGTGTTCCTCAAAGGTTTTTAAATAAATAGTAATATCATTAAGATATACTAAAATAAAGTTATTTTTAAGATCAAAAAAGATTTTATCCATAACTCATTAAAAAGTAGTAGGTGTATTAGTTAGACCAAAAGGTATAACATTAAATTCAAACAACTAATATTTAGTAATAAAAGCTGTTTTTTCACGATCCTTAGGTTTTACTTCAACTTGCCAATATCCACTAGCTAAGTCAAGAGTAGAGAACCATTTTGCACCTTTAAAAGTATTCAGAATTTTATCAATTCATGGTAGAGGATAAACATCATGTTTGGTAATTTTATTAAGCTTTCTGTAATCAATACAGAGCCTAAGTTTACCATTTTTCTTTTTACCAAAACAATAGGAGAGGCACATAGACTTTTTAATGAAGATATAAGCTTATTTTCAAGCATCAAGAAGAGTTCCTGTTAAATAAATTTATGTTTAGCTGGAGACATATGATAGGCTCTTTGATAAATAGGTAAGACATTTTCAGTTATAATTTGATATTAGTCAATAGTTGTTTTGCCTAGATCATTCATTTCTTAAGAAAATATATAGTTATTTTCGATTAAGAATTGCTGTAATTGTAAGTTATTTATAGAAGGAAGATTTGTTTTCTCAAGATCCTCCTTAGTAGCAAAACAACTTATTGCTTCCCTTACTTGTATACATTTTGAACATATTTTTTGTGACTGATTACAATAACATTTTACAACTTGAGGATCACTAGTTTATTCAGAATAAAAATTATAATTGTTGAAAGATTTATTTTGATATTTAACTTGGGTATTATTAATTTCAAGTATAGGTTTTTTATCAAAATTTTCTATAACTAAGAATCCTTTAGATTCCTCTTGTTTATCATTAGATGATTTATATTTATCCTCACTAATTTCACTAGAATTAGTTTCAGCAGATGAAGTTTGATTACTTGAGTTATTAGATCCAGAAGAGTTTTTTAAAGGAATAGGCTCACTATTATTATATTGTGGCTTTTTCTAACATATAATAGGTAAAATATAAGATTTGTTGTCACAAGTAAATTTAAATTGTTCTCTTTTTAAATTAATGATACCTTGCACTTTGTTAAGCTAATTAACTCCAGCAATTATAGCATAACCTTGAGCATTATTTACTTCCATATCAATAGGAATGATAGTACCAGATAATTTTTTGAATATTAATGGTGAGACCATGTCTCTGTCTTTATTAAAATTTAATTTAACTCTTTTACAAAGCAAAGAAAATACAGCTCTTTTACAAGAAAAGAGAATATAACTCTTGTACAAAGAAAAGAATAAATTTAAACTTCATATCCTAAAATAGCAAGAAAAGAAACTCAGACTAATTTATTTGCGACCTAAACCAAATCAGATAATTGAAGAGGAATATTATTAATAATTCCTAGTGATTATTTTTTTCTACCATTAATATCAAAAAAATAAAGATTGGATGGTTTTCAATAAATCTGTTTAGTTTATCAGCAAAAGGTTTTGACATTACACTTATAAGCAGTGTTGTCACACAGATACAAACACAGACACAGACATGAACCGGACCAGACCGGACGTTCGCGTCCATGTCTAAAGATAACAATATCCAGCAGACATTGTTCATAGATCAACCAATCAAATGTTTGGACATTGAACAATATTCACGATAATTTTATTGGCTAAATAACAATAATGATTATCTATTTTTATTTGCAGTTCACGATATCTATTTAACCCTCTAAAACATACTTATACTTGTTTAATATAAACTCTATTCTAAAACATTTCTAACCTTAATCTGATTTCATAATCAGTAACAATGATTAAGCATTATCACTGGAGCCATCACAGGTGCCATCATAGGAGTCATTGAAGCCTCAATAGAAATTCGGCAGTGCCGTTGGTGGTTATGATTTTGTTGTAGCTCAGTGTCATTAGTGGTTATAGTTTAGCCATCCTTCGCTGCATATATATATATATATATTTATTAAGCACTAATCTAGTTTTTTTTTTTTTTTTTAGCTTTCCTTTCATTGCTAGTTGGTCTCAACATAAGTTAGTGCCGTTTTTTATTTTCTTTGGTGCTGTGTTTTGGTTGGTTGTTAGTTGTGATTTTGCTATGGATTTCAGTCAGTATCATTGATAGTTGTTGCGTTCAATGATCATGATTTTACCATATGGTTGTTGTGTTAGTAAGGGGAGAGACAGAAATCACCTGATTTTTTAGGGGGGTGGGGGGTTTGTAGGTTAATTAGGTTATATATTATAATAATTAAATTTAATTGAATCAGGTGGAGGATGGAGAGTATAGCCTTTTAATAAATAGAAATCATCTGATTTCTGTCTCTCCTCTAATCATGATTTTACTGTGGTTTTCAATATCATTAGTAGTATTATTAATGGTTTGGCTTTATTAATACTAATCTATTTTTTTTTAGTTTTCCTTCCTTGTAGTGTCTTTAGAGTTTTGTATGCTGATGCATTTTTTTTTTCGCTCTATCTATCCATCGTTTGTTGGTGTCGACATATGTTAGTGATGTTTTCATTTTCTTTGGTGCTGTTGTTTTGTTCATTATTACTACCTCTTTTTAACATTGCAATAATATCATTTATATATATATTTTTTTATAGGCATTGTTGTTTCTTTGTAATATGACGACAGTTTAGAATTATTTAGTAGACCAGAGATTAGAGTAGAGTTAGTGTTAGGATCATGATAAGGTCAGGATAATGTGATTAAAAATATAAATATGACACTTAAATTAATAAAGAAAAGATATTTGTTGCAAAATAACTTTTATTTAACTAAATACTTTTCTTAATAATCATTATTAAACCTGAATCTCTCTATCCGCATCTAAATTATTTTTGAAAAAAAGTATTTTTAGCAAACATCTTGGCACTACTAAATTTTGTTTATAAAACTCTCTGAAACAATTATACTACATAATATATTTTGATGAAAAGCATTCAATTAGTATATATTTTGATGAAAAGCATTCAATTAGTATATATTTTGATAAAAAGCATTCAATTAGCAATAATTTTAGCACTATATAAAACTAATTTTAGCTGTCTAAATGCCGTAATTACCAAGATGTGCAATTTAGGCACATATGTACAGCTATGCCCAAAAGCTATTGTTCTCCTAATTCTGAGTGTAATAACGGTAAAAATTCATATTTGACCAATAAAATACTTGGACATTGGACAATATCTGTCAGACGTCTGGTGTCTGTCATTTATTCACAGATAATGTCTAATGATATTTGTAAATTTGCACATATAGGCGGATGTGGATATTGGACAATATCCAAATATATCTATATCTGAGAAATATGCGCGGACAGTATCTGTGTACATCACTACTTGTAAGTGATCCTGTATCCAGAATTAAATAAAACTGAGTTTTATCAATACTGACATTACAGTAAACTATATCCACAGCTTCTTTAGGTTTTGGTTGTTTATTAGTAGAAATCAGTAAGGGTGCTGATTTAAACTGATTTTGATTATTAATATAATTAGAATTATTGTCCTTTAAGATATATGAATGATTAGTGTTATAAATATTATTATGATTATTTAATGAAGAAGTAGAAGGTAGAATATTGGATGAAGAATTTGGTTGACAGGCGCTACTGCTCTCATAATATGCTTTTAGTAGTTTAAAGATTGTGCTGAGTTTTGAATAAAGCTTTATAAATCCTTAGCAGAAAGTATATAATATGTGGGATATGTATTTTGATTATTTGAAGATGGAAGTGTTTTTTTTTTTTTTTTTTTTTTTTTTTTTTTTTTTTTAAAAGCGAGGCCGTGCCTCTGTTCCTTTATTAGAATTCAT